TGGGCAAGTCATTTCCCTTCTCCAGATCTTATTCTAATCATCATTAAAATAAGGTATTAGACTAAATGTCTTCTAAGATCCCTTTCAGCTCTAATGTTGTATGATCACTCTATTTAACTATGGAGAGGCATATCACCAGAAGGCTGGCTACCTGATGATAGATGGGGGTGGTTTTTTTTGGGGGGGAGTTGTCATGGCAATCTAGGAAACACAGAAAAACTTTTTTTTTAATTGCACTTATTCCTCTGTGGACCCCTTTTGATGTATTAGGGAAAGGGGAAGAGGGTGATATCACAGTTTTTAGACCATCCATAAACCATTCAGTTGTTGGTACTTTAAATCTGTGAACAGTTAGGTGGCACAATGGATAGAGTGCTGGACCTGGAGTCAGGAGGACCTGAGTTCAAATCCATCCTCAGATACTTACTAGCTGTGTGACCCTAGGCAAGTCACTTAATCCTGTTTGCCTCAGTTACCTCACCTATAAAATGAGCTGGAGAAGGAAACGGCAAAGCACTCCAGTATCTTTGCCAAGAAAACCACAAAAGAGGTCACAATGAGTCAGACCCAACTGAAATGATTCAACAACAACAACAACTTTAAATCTAAGCTCCAGGGGCATACCAAGGATAAAAATGTAAGGGAGACTACAAACAAATGAAAAATGAAAAATATTTGCAAAAACTATTTTTATAAACTGTTTTTCCGTCAAGGAACCACCATACTTAAATCAGATTTACTTACAGTAGAAATTACATTTAAGCAAGCCAAGAGCAGCAGAGTAGTCAGATGGATTAAGTATACATAGAAGAGGTCTGTGCTGGAGTCAATACCATTGCAAGGGCATTGAGGGATTAATATAAAAGGTATGAATATACAGAGCCTATTGAGCCTGTCCAGTAAAACATGTAGCTGAGAAAGACAGTGAAGATGGACAATTGGAGCCAGAGTTGAGCAGGAAGGGTGAAATTATTTTAATGACCCTAAGCTTCCCATGAAAGCAAAAGCCCATTGTTTCAGTACTAACATTTTACTGGCGGAACACTATTGCCTTCGAAGAACTAACTGAGTATCACACAGAGGGGAATAGAGAAGTTCGTGGTCAGTATGAGCAGATTCTTATAGCTAGCAAGGAACTCCAAAGAAGAAAAGGATTAAAGGACACCATTAAGGTATTGTATGAAAGGAAAAGAAGATGGTCTAGTCACATGGCAAGAATAAGGGATGATGGAAGGCACTCTACTGGCACCGTCACAACATCAGGAGAAACTGAGGAAGATTTCCAGCATCTTGGTTAGGCCTTTGGTGTCAAACTTAGAAGAATATGGATAAGAGTCGTACAGCAAGGGAATGAGTGGTTGGGTCATACTCTTCATCACTGGGGGGGAGCTCCTGAATACGCTAAATCACACATTGATTTAAGAAGCATATTTGATTTTGGCAGTTTTCTTTTTGGAAATGATACATTAATGTTTTATTAGTGAGTGAGAATGAAGGCCAAAACAACAACACAACCTGTTAGCCAAAGGATGGCTGAATGGTAGGTAAGTATTATTCTGAGGCCTGGGAAAGACCTTAGCTTAAAAAGGCCAACGGTTCCAACTGCATCCTGGACCATCTCCGGTCATCCTGACCTATGCCTTGCCACTGGACTCTGATGACTTTGGAGCTACATAAATGCAAGGTATTATTATTCAACAAAGATTTATTTAGCTTCTGTCTTGTCCAAGGCTTTATGCCAGGCAGTAGGGATGCACAGACAAAAATCAAAACAATTCCTGTCATCAAGAAGTTCATATTTTACTTGAAGAAATGTGACATATACACAGACAAGTAAATATAAAGTGTTTTTTTTTCTAACCAAACTTGTGATTTCATTGATACAGTGGGTATACCTTGAGGAACTTTCTCCTCCAAAGCATATGAACACATGCTCTATAACTTAAACAGTTGCCTGGGGGACAGTGAGAGTTTAAATTACTTGCCCCAGCATCACAAAGCCAGTGTGTATCAGAGACAGGAATTAAACCCAGGTCTTCCTGACTCCAAGGCCAGTTTTCTATCCAGTAGACCATACTCTCTCTATATCTCTCAAAAATGATATAAATTCTATATAAAGTAAGTAATGAGATACTACATTCCAGATGTGAAAGGCCAGCTGTGCAAAGATACAGAGATGGGAAATGGAATATCCTCTACGGGTATCAGTCAGTAGGCAGGTCAATTTAAGTGAAATAGAAAATACAGAAAAGGGAGGAAGATTCAATGATAGGCAAGTAAAAGGGAAGGTGGGTGACATTGTGAGGGGCATGAAATGTAAGGCTCTAGATTTTTTGTTTCATCTTAGAGTTAAGGGGGAGTCAATGAAGCTTTTTGAGAAGCGAACTAACTTGGTCAGATCGTTTTTTGTGGAATATCAATTTGGCAACAGAATGGAGGATGGAATTGGAAAAGGGAAAGACTAGAAGCAAGGAGACCAATTAGAAAACATAATAATCCAGGTGTAAGGGTGAAGATTTGAACTAAGCTAAAGACTCTGTAAGTGAAGAAGAGGACAGATCCTAGACATATCGTTAAGATTGATGAGTTGGTGATACTAACTTTTAGGGGTGAGAGAGAATAAAGAGTCAAAGATGGCTCTAACATTGAGAACCTGGTTGACTGGGAAAATGGTGGTGCCCTCGACAGGGAATTTGGGAGAAGAGATGGGTTTGGGGAAAATACAATTAATTCTCTTTCAGATGTTAAGTCTGAGACGTCTATGGAACAAGTAATTGGAGATGTCTAGAGGATAGTTGGTGATGTGTGACTAAAGTTCAGAAGAGACGTTAGGGATAGATGTGTTTGTTTGGGAGTCGTATTCATAGAAATGTGAACAGCCTATCCTAATCACTTTACCAGTTGGGTAGTAACTATAATTCCTATTGCCTGGGGTGGCAGTATTGGAAAGAATGTTGGATTTGGAGTGAGAAGACATGGGGTTGAATAGTAGTTCTGGCAGATCCTCTCTGTGTGACCTCAGGTAGGTCTTGGGATCTTGGCAGCCTCATTTGTGAAAGGAGAGGTTTGGGCTGGATAATCTGGAAGGTTCCTTCTCTCTCTCAACCTAAGACCCTATGATCTTACATGTGACCATGATGTGTTCATAAGTTACGGCATTTGTCCCCAAGAACAATTCGAATGAACAGTTACAGAGTTAGGTGGCTTTTATAGCTCCCTGTGGAATCTAGAGCTTTCTTTAAGGAGTAATAATTTTGTTCCAAAATGAGAAACCCCCAGAACTGAAACAGAAAGATCTGCAAAGCTATCAACTTTATATGTAGTCATGGAATATTCCAAGTGACTTCAGAATTAATTTTTGGTAGAGTTAACTTGGGTCACTCTAAGATTTCATTTTCACTCTGTGAAGTATACCTATAAATATGCAACTGGGTTTTTAGTCTGTATTTGTACGCTGGGGAATGCCTCCACTTCCTCACTTCCCACTCATTTCTCAACACTTTAAAAACTGGCTTCCAAGCCTATCATTAAACTGAGACTGCTTTCTCCAAAGTTAACAATCTCTTAATCACTAAATCCAATCTCCTTTTCCACAGCCCCTATCCTTTTTTATTTCTGTTGACTACTGTCTTCTTCTATACTCACTTCTCCCAGTATTTTCACAACCCTACTCACTCTGACTTCTCCTATTTGTCTTTCCGCCTCCTTTACTGGGTAATCATGATAATTCACATTTATATATAACCGTAAGGTCTGCAAATTTATCTTATATACATTATATCATTTGATACTCACAACCCCCCCCTTTTTTTAAAAGGTTTACTGGATCATCATAATAACTCACATTTACCTGTTACTTTAAGGTTTGCACATTTGCCTTATGTACATTATATCACTTGATTCTCACAAAACCTGTGTTTTCTAAAAGAAAGACAAAGTAATAAAAATTTTATTATTATCCTCATTTTTAATAATAATAATAATAGCTAATATTTATATAGCACTTACTATGTGCCAGGCACTATGCTAATTGCTGTATTATCTCATTTGATCCTCACAACCACCCTGGGAGGAAGGTGCTATTGTTATTCCCATTTTACAGATAAGAAAATTGAGGCAAACAGAGGTTAATGATTTGCTTAAAGTCACAGCTAGGAAATTGAAGCTTTAAGATGTTAAGTGGCTTGCCCAGGATTACACAACTAGTAAATTTCTGAGCAGGATTGAACTCTGGTATTCTCAACTTTAAATCTAGTGCTCTTTCTACTATACACACTGCCATTTATCCATGTTCTACTTCTTATGTATATACACACACAAATACATTCACTCATAGTATTAACCAATCAGGCTAAAAGACAGTATATCTTCTGGATAGATGGAGAGATAGTCTCAGAGTCAGAAAGACCTGGGTTCAAATCCTACTTCTAACACATAACCAGTTGTGTAACCCCGGCCAAGTCACTTACCTTTCACCACTTCAGGCAACCTTTTTTTTTTTTTGCTTTTAGGCAATTGGGGTTAAGTGACTTGCCCAAGATCGCACAGCTAGTAAGTGTCAAGTGTTGGATCTGAGGCTGGATTTGAACTCAGGTCCTCCTGACTTCAGGGCCGGTGCTCTATCCACTGCCACCTAGCTGCCCTCAGGCAACTTTTTAAAACTATAAATTGCAAATCATTGGTAAATCTGTTTTTGTGGAGGGAATTTATTCATAAGCCAGTTCTCTGAACTGATGGAGTCATACACCTGGACCAAAATGTGTGTACATACATGTATGTGTTCAATGTAGCACTAGGACCACCCTTCTCATATGTGTAAGCTCCTGGGAATATCAACTGAAATTTCAAGGTATCCTGTCAGTCTGCATCCATTCAAAAACAAAGCCTATGAGTCCCCAACAATATATTTACTTTTTTCTCTAATCAGATAGAGGACACAATTATTTCAAATCAAAACAAATTTAATGAAATGACATAGCATTAAAATTTATAGTAAACCCTCCAACTCAAACCACAGACATATATATACCTATGTGGACAGTGAACATGCAAAGGGATTATGCGTGATGCGGCACATTAAAATGAACATGTATGACCAGGAAATACTTGTAGAAAAGGTGCAGTACATGTATTTGTTTTGGTGATATCTTTGTGCTGCTTTCTGTAGGCTTTGCTTCCTACTGGATTTGGCATTTCCACTGGACATATTGCTCTTCTGGTACATACTGGTTTCATTATAACTACTGGGCATCTATAGTCTCTAAAGGAGACTCCTTGCTACCAGATTCTGAGCATCATATAATCAGAGACACTTGCTGGTCATAACAATTGCATTCTGCTAAATTATAGTGGTGAGAACCTCTACCTGATGAAGATATGCTGGCAACTTTTTAGTCATAGCTAGAGGCTATAATTCAAAGCCAGTCAGACTATCCCCAGAGGCTTGGGTTAAGCCTTTTCTTTTTTACCTCTATTTCTGAGCATAGATTGTTGCCCTCGATTTCAGAAGATTATCCCACTTAAAATTACACATTCCCAATATCCTCTCTCCCTAAGAAGGCAAACGAATTTGAGTCAGAACAAAAGGTAACCCAAAGAGGCAAGGTCAATATTTTTCACTCCACTTCTGTCTTTATTGCGCATATCTGTAAGTAGCAAAATCCAATTGCTTTGGTGTTGTGTCCTGGACTTCGTATAAACATGGGTGTGTGTTGCGCAGTCTTGAGATTACATCAGTATAGGGAGCTCCCAATGAACAACTCCAATCAAAGTAGACTAGAACTCTGAAACATAAAATCTTAGAGAGTTAGCAAGAGACTGTAAGAGCTTCGGTGATTTGCCCAGGATGACACAATCACTGTGTGTCAGAGGCAAGACTTATCTTGATCTGCGTGACTCTAAAACTAACTCTATCCATTATACCATGTTGTCATACGTTCATATGCATGTAGATGTGCGTTACTGTGCAAAGACATGTATGTGTGTAATTTGAATTTATGTAACTCTAGCCAAAAATCAGCCTGGTACAAAGCATAGCATGTGCTCCCTTTGTAAATGTCTGGCAATCTAAGCATGACAGGTAAATTCATCAAGATAGAATATGCATAAGATCAGTAGTAGTTTTAACAGTATTTTTCCAATTACATGTAAATACAATTTTTAACATTCATTTTTTTAATAAAATTTTGAGTTCCAAATTTTCTTGCTCCCTCCCCTCCTCCCTCCCTAAGATGGTAAGCAATTTGATATAGGTATTATGTAAAACATATGTCCATATTAGTCATGTTGTGAAAGAAGAAACAGAACAAAAGAAAAAAACACAAAAAAAGAAAGTGAAAATAGTATGCTTCATCTGCATTGAGATTCTATCAGTTCTTTCTCTGGATGTGGATATCATTTTCCATCATGAGTCTTTTGTAATTGTCTTGGATTATTATATTGCTGAGAAAAAGCTGTCCTTTACAGTTGATCAACATACAGTATTGCTGTTACTGTGTACAATATTCTCCTGGTTCTGCTCACTTCAGTTTGCATCAGTTTATGCAAGCCTTTCCAGGTTTTTGATCAGTACTAGTTTTGAATAAGTTGAGTAAATGATCATTGCTTGTTTACTAAGAGCCAGGCCCTGTGGGGATAAGAAAGGCTAAAAACAGTTCCTTTTCTCAAGGATCTTGGAGTCTAATAGGGGAGATATTTTGCAAAAAAGAACTATAGACAAACAAGATACACACAGGATAAATTGGAGATAATCAACAGAGGGAAGGTATTAGCATTAGCATAAAAGAGAATGAGAAAGGCTTCTTGCAGAAGGTATGAGACTTGAAATTGAAGGAAACCAGGAGACATAAGTGAGATTTCTATTTTATTCCCTTCTTTTGAGATAATGGGAATAAAATGAACAAAAGATTCCATAAAAACCAACATGGAAGGAATAGACAATCAAGAGAAGTAGGAATAGAACGGAAAAAGAAATTACTGCAGATAACACTGCCATTATGTAGCAAAACAACATATAAGAAAATACATAAGCAAAATTTCCTCTCTTTAGCCCCATTGCTACATGTGAATAGCCTATGTTTACTAAATGATTTTATGGGGTTGGTACTTTAAATAAATTTGACTTTTTTTTAGATGCTTACATATAATCTAGTATGAGGCAGCTAGGTAACATAGTAGAAAGAGTGCTAGGCCTGACGTCAGTAAGACTCATCTTTGTGAGTTCAAATCTGGCCTCAGACACTTACTAGCTATGTGATCCTAGGCAAGTCACTTAACCTTGTTTGCCTCAGTTTCCTCATCTATAAAATGAGCTGGAGAAGGAAATGGCAAACCACTCCAGTATCTTTGCCAAAAAAACTCTAAATGGGGGTCACAAAAAGTCTGAATAACAGCACACTCATACAAGGGGAAATCCTTGAGGGCAATGACCATATCTCGTTCAGTTTTATGTCCTCAGACCACTTAGCGTGGTGATTTACATATAGTAGGAACTCAGTACCTTTAGTTCAATAAATTAATAAATGAAACAAAGGGTTTGACAACCAGCCAATGAAATTTTCTTGAAATAATAATACATTTGTAACATTCTTTATGACCTCCAGATCATTTTACATATACAATAATTTTGTGAGGTAGGCAGAATAATTATTATTCCTTTTTTTGGTAAATAAAGAAACAGATGAGAGATTAAGTGACACAACGAAGAGATAACATAAGTTAAACTAGAACTGAGGTCTTACTCCTAGTCCTATGATCTTTCTACTACAGTAGAAGCAGCCCATCAGGATAAGTCTGTAGAAGATTTCCTAAATTTACTTGATTACTTATCTTTTCAACCCAAATTTATTAGAAAATGGTAGCCTTTCATTTCACTTTATGCTGTATGGACCTGGCCTATGGAAATTCTCAGGTTTTTTTTGGACAACCATAAACTTTATAACATGGGAATTCCTGAAGGGTTGTTTTTTTTTTAATTAACATAGTCTAAGTATGGGAACTGCCTCCACCAATGAAGACCTAAATTTGTTGGTGACTTAGAAGATAAATCCAAAGGAGTTGCCTGAGACATACAGGCTAATTAATTTGTCAAGGGTCACACAGCTAGTAAATGTTAGAGGCAAGATTTGAACCCAGATATTATTCCTGGCTACAGGCTCAGCACTCTATCCATTTCTCCAAGCCGCTTCTTGAATTTAGTAAGACAAATGTAATTGCAAAAAAAAAAAAGTCCGTAACATTGCTTGTCCAGCCATTATTTAGCAATAGAGCTTTAAATTCCTGACAACTGCTATTACCAAGCTAATAGTATTGATTGAATATTATATTTGTACCCAACACTTGAGAGGAATGAACAAGAAATTACATGATTTCTGTCCTGGAGGAGCTAAAAGCCTAGGTGAGAATTTTGGAATGTTGTATTCAAAGTGATAATATTACCAAGTAACCAAAGAGCACGTATGTCCAATCTTATTACCGCACTGTTAAAATGAGTAGAATAGTGTGCAGTAGTGCTGAAGAGCTGGGTGCTTAAAAGCCAACACTGCCAGGTGCCTTTGACTGAGATCCAGGATTTCCTAAAACCTCTTATCAGAGCTATCTCAAAGGGGAGGGGGCTGTCTTAGGAGAAGGCAGGTTTCCCTTCTTTGGAGGTCTTTAAGCTGATTTAGACATCTACTTGTCAGATATGTTATAATAAGGATTCTTTTTTGTGAATGGGTCAGACTAGATCTTCACTATCTCCTTTCAACTTATTAATTCTGAGATTCTGTGATTTAGAGAATAATAATAACAATAATAGCATTTATACTATGTTCTGGGAACTGTGTTAAGTGTTTTATAAATATTATTCATTAGATCCTCACAAAGACCTTGAAAGGTAGGTACTATTATTATCCTTATTACATTGTTAAGGAAACCAAGGGTAAGCAATTTGCTAAAGATGCACAGCTAGTAAGTGTCTAAGGTTAATTGGAACTCAGGTGTTCCTGTCTTTAGGCCTAATACTCTATCTACTGCATGACCTAAAGAGATCATCGGTGTAACCAATTTTCACAGAGGAAAAAAACCAAGGTCCAGAATGAGGAAATAACTTGTCCAGGACCACATAGGTTGTAAGTAGCAGAGCTCATACAGGAATCCAATCTTATTCCTGCTTCCAAATCCACCATGGTATCCAAGACACCACCCTTTGTTTAGTTGGTATTCAGTCCTGTCCAACTCTCCATCTTTCACAGAGAGTCATGACCCCATTTGGGGCTTTCTTGACAAAGATACTGGAGTGGTTTGCCATTTTCTTCTCCAGGTCATTTTATAGATGAGGAAACTGAGGCAAACAGGGTCACACAGCTAGTAAATGTCTGAGGCCAGATTTGAACTCAGGAAGATGAGTCTTCCCGACTCCAGGTCCAACACTCTATCCACTGCACCACCTAACTGCCCCAAGACACCACACTGCATCTCTACACCTTTTAAGGTAGGGCCATCTTCTCTAAAGGGCCTTTCCCTGTTGGTTCTACTGTAAGCTTCCTTACAAATAAGGGTTGTTGCTTCTTTGGCTTTGTATCCTGAATGCTTAGCAGTGTCTGGGACATAACTGATACCTAATGACTATTTGTTATTTGACAGTGCTCCTCCCCACCCTGAAATTGCTTTATATTTATTTTATGTATATTCTATATTTATTTATCCCATGTGGTCCATGTGGTATGTTCACTCACAGAAAAGTTAAGTTCCTTGGAGGTAGGGATTGTTTTGTTTCTGTCTTTCTAACTCTAGTGCCTAAGACAGGACCTGGCATGCAGTAGGTGCTTAATAAATGCCTTTTCAATTTGATTACATTGAATGTAAGCAATATCAGCTGGCCTCTCACTTACAGGATTAGGCCCATCCTACCATTTCTTCTGAGCTCCAGAGGGTGTCAAAAGAGAAAAGAACAAATCAGTCACCAAATATATGGGTTCCTACTATGCACTACTAGGTACTGTGCCAGTCATTGGAGATATAAACTTAAAAACAAAACGGTTCTTTCCCTCATTTATAGTTTCTACTATGGGAAACAAGTGCTCATATAAGCAAATACATAAGCAAATTTAAAATATATTCAAATACCAACCAGGTTTCATAGATTTGAGAGTTGCCTTCTGTGATGCAAAAGACATTCCATCCATGCCTACCCCCTCTCTGTGTAATCCTCATCCATTGTCTCCTGAAAGTTTGACACAAGGATCTACCCAACTTGCTGGAGATCTTCTGAGTTTCTCCCGTCAGAAGAATATCAGTGGAGCAGTGTGGTCTATATTGGTCATACCTTGATATCAATACCACATGACCAGCCCATGTTCTCTTTCTGTCATACAATTCCTTGATAACAACCTTTACTCCTGTTCTTCAGAATTCCTTGCTGGTTATATGTTGCACCTCTACCATGTACTTTTCCATTACCCTCTGATTTTTCATCTTTAGTTCTTTGGAGTGATGTTCTGGGTCCCACTGGCATACTACAACACTGGTAAAATATTTGCATTGAAAAGATGGGCCTTTGCTGTTATGGGAAGTCTGAGGTCAGTAAAAGTACTTTGCAAATTTACATATATATACAAAGTAAATATAAGGAAAGGCCTCCCCGTAGGCTGTGGGGTTTGAGTGGGGCTTTGAAGGAAGTTAGGGATTCTAAGAAACAGAGATAAGAAGGGAATAGATTCCAGGCCTGGGGAACAGCTTGTTCAAAAGGAAGATGGAATGTCAGGAGTGAGGAAGAGCCAGAAAAGGCCAGTCTGCCTGGAATGTAGTGAATGAGGGCTAGTGTGTAATCAGCCTGGAAAAGTAGACTAGAGCTAGATTGTGAAAAACTTTAAATGTGTGAAGAATTTCAATTTGATCTTAGAAGCAGTAAGGAGCCACTGGAGTTTTATGAGCAGGTAAGTAACACAGCCAGGTCAGTGCTTTAGGAATAATATATGGGAAGTTGAGTGGGGGATGGACTGGGGAAGGGAGAAACTTGAGGCAGGGAGACCAGTTAGAAGGCTATTTCCATAGTCCAGGCAAGAAGTGATGGGGGCCTGAACCAGGGGTGGTAGCTATATGAGTTAACAGAACGGGATAAATATGGGCCAGCTAGGTGGCCCAGTAGATAAGAGTGCAGGGCCTGGGGTCAGGAAGACTCACCTTCCTGAGGTCAACTCTGGTCTCAGACACTTCCTAGCTGTGTGACTCTGAGCAAGTCACTTAACCCTATTTGTCTCTTTCCTCATTTGTAAAATGAGCTGGAGAAGGAAATGGCAAATCACTCCAGTATCTGCCAAGAAAACCCCAAATGAGATCACAGAGAGTTGGACAAGACTGAACAACAGAATGAGAGAGATGTTGTTACAAAATTAGAATAAACAAGAAATACTAACTGACTGGATGTCAGACCTGAAGGAGAGTGAAGAGCTAAGGGGTGTGATGTAATGGAAACACTGATTGGTTTTGTTCTCAGAGGACCTACCTTCAAATCCTGGCTGTGTCATTTACTACATATGTGACCTTGGGTAAATTTTTAAATCTCTCTGGCCATCAGCTTCTTCCTCTGTAAAAGTGAGGAGTTTGGACTAGTTAGCCTTTCTGGAAAGTCCCTTTTAGGCTTTAAACCTGTAATCTATGAAAAAAAAAAAATTTAAAAGGCATAAAAAAAATTTGAGTGGAAATATTGTGATGCTTTTGACAGAAAGAAGTTAGATGGATGGACTTGGGGGAGATGACAAATAATAATGACTTCGGCTTTGAAATAAATATCTAAGATGTCTAAGTTCCCATTTTGGTAATAAGTGTCCAATCTCCCTAAAAAAATTGTTGTGAAGACTGTAGAATCAAATCAGACCAAATGAGATAATGAATATTGAATGCTTTGGGAAAATATAAAAATATTTTAAAAATGCTATGCAAATAAAAGGTGTTATAGCACGGCAATAGGATACAGGAAAAACAAAGATCTGGTGAGACAGTCCTATGTGAAAAAAGACCAAGTAAGAAAATGTTTCTGGAAGGCACTTGGTAGTGTCCAATGGAAGCCTCCCCAACTAGCTTCAGCTCTTTAGTTTGCCCTTTAGCTATACTTTTTAAGTTCTTCTGGAACATCAGCAATCCTTGATTCCTGATTAATTAAACAGATATCAGCAAACCAAACTAGATTATATTGAAAGAGCTATTTCTCACCAGAGCAAGAGGTTGGGGGGGGAGGGGGTGTTGAGTAAAGAAAGGAAAACTAGAGCTGCCGTGGCCTCCAACACTCCAAGAATGCTCTTGCAGGAAAGGTGATGCTTGTTTTAAAAAAAGGTGCTTGCAACTCCCTGGCCCGTCTGCTTGTATATTTTCCTCTACGAAGTGGTTCCAATTACCTTGGCACTCCTGGTATCTGGATTCATCTCCAGTGAATGCCTCTGCAGCGCCACGCCAGACATATGGGATCAATCAAAGGCTTCGGTGCCGCTGTGTTTTCTTTGGGAATGTTGACAGCCTGACAGACATGGGGTTCTGGTGACACGGAATCTCAGAAACTTCGGCATGAACCGGGAAGGAGGGGAGGAGAGAGAAAAAGAAAGGGAAAGAGGGACATAAAGATATTTATCTTGACTGCCCCCTTTCCTTCAAACATTTTATAGGTTTCAGGGAAGGAAAGAGAGAGGAGGAGGGGAGGGGGAAGAAAAGACAGAGGGAGAGAGATTGAGAAAGCATTTCATTCTCAGCAGAGCCAGAACCCCCAGAGCTGAAAGAGCGGCAAGCCTGGAGATTTTCCTCCCATTAAAGGGATCTGAGACAGCGGCTGATACCTGAGGCACGCGGGAGGAAGGCTGCTTCTGACACCATCTGACTGAACAAGGGGAAAGGACGACCGAAGGTGCCAGAAAGAGGGCAGAGTTCTCTGACTCGTGCTGCTGCTGGGCTCAGGGTAGCAGCAGGTCTCCCCCCTCCACTCTACAATGTGGCGTCTGCTGCCTCTTTATTGCTGGGGTCTCTCTCTAGTTTCTGGCTGGACGGCGTTTCAGCAGATGCCCACGTCGGGAAATTTCAGCTTCAGCTTCTTCCCATCTTCTTCTTCTTCTTCTTCTTCTTCCTCCTCCTCCTCCTCCTTCCCGCAGGCGGCCTCGCAGCGTCGGGGGCAGGAGCTGGAGCCCCGGAGGTCCCTGACGCTGGCGCTACGGCCGCCCCCGCCGCCGCCTCCGCTTCACCCCGACCCCCAGGAGAACAAAGTGGAGAAGCTGGGTCAGTCGTTCAAGCGCAACGTGAGGAAGCTCCGCGAGCGGAGCCACAGCCTCGACCTGGTGTTTCTAGTGGACGAGTCCTCGAGCGTGGGCCACGCCAACTTCCTCAACGAGCTCAAGTTCGTCAAGAAGCTGCTGTCAGACTTCCCCGTGGTGCCCAGCGCCACCCCGCGTGGCCATCGTGACCTTCTCGTCCAAGAACAACGTGGTGCCGCGCGTGGACTACATCTCCTCCAGCCGGGCGCACCAGCACAAGTGCTCGCTGCTCAACCGCGAGATTCCCAAGATCACCTACCGAGGCGGGGGCACTTACACCAAGGGCGCTTTCCAGCAAGCCGCGGTAAGAGCGCACTCTCTCCAGCAGCCCCCAATCGGGAGCGCCCACCGCTGCCCCCTGACCCAGGCGCTCCCGGCCACCCCTCCGCAAAAGCACACACACACACACACACGCACGCAGAGGAGAGAGGATGCCCTACACACCCTCGTTCCTCTTGTCCTTCCCCTACACAATTCTCAGGTGTATAGACCAATGGTCATCATATTTGTTACGTGGTTATGTGTTCAGAAGCAGCTTTGTGAGGTAGTAAGCTGTGCTGGAGTAGTTATAGGAAAGGGGATGCAGAGATACAGTAGGCAATGCAAAGGGAGACTTTGATGTATTTCTATGGCTAGATTAGGTGATGAGGTGAGATGTATTAAGTCTTAACCCAGTTGGTAATATACCTGTAAAGCCAAGGTTCATTTTTGTGTATGTCAGGGACCTGGTTGACAGTCTGGTGAAGCCTATGCACTTTTTCTCAGAATAATGTTTTTAAATGCATAAAGTAAAATACGTAAAATTACAAAAGAAGCCAATTATGTTTAAATAGTCTTAAGTATATTTTAAAAACAAGTTTGCACCCCACCCAGCTGTAAAAGATCATAGGATCGTAGACCTTAAGCTGGAAGAGACCTTAGGGGCTATCTAGTTCAACTCCTCATTTCACAGTTGAAGAAACTGAGGCCGAGGGCCTTTAAGGGACTTACTCCAGATCAAGAAGGTAGTATCAGAGATAGGATTCAAACTCCAGAGCCAATACTTTGTCAGGAGGCAAAAGGCAAAGATTGTGAGGTATTTATCCCTATAAAATGGGCACCTTACTTATCTGTAAAGGGGATGTATCTACTTACTGGTAACTGCTTTGGGAGTTGGGGGGGATGAACAAGTGAATATCTGAGTTTTCTTTACTGAAGTGCTTCATGTTTGGCGATCATGATTATTGTGGTATGGTTTGAAGCTGTTAATCTCAGTTCTCTGAAGTTTATTGTATTGTTTAATATTTGCAGTGGAAAATGCACATCTTTATTCAGTTTTCATTTAGCTATTTAAAGCAGGTTTTATATATAAAAGAACAGGTCAATTTTGTTAGTTTTTTAACTTTATTCCATGTATAGCTACAATCTCTACTATCTATATGAGCACTTTAAAGATAATGTAGAATGATTGGTTTAAAGCTGGAAGGAACCTCAGAGTTCATCTATTCTAACCTTCTCATTTTATGGGTGATAAAATTGAGACCATGATCTTCCTACAGCCTATAACTAAGTGGTGAGGTGGGACTTAAATCCATACACACTAGACTCAGCAGTCTTTCTCCTGTACCACTCCCCCCACCCCAAAGAGTCGAAAATTTAGCAGTCAGACTAGTGGAGGTGTCATGATATCTCATGGCATCACTTTTACTTTCTCTAGACAACAGAAAGACAAGTTACAGCATAAAGTTTTAAAAAATGGTCAATTTTGTGGTGTGGTTTTTCTTATGAAACCTACTAACTTTATTAGGAAAAAAATGCCCATTTGAAAGTTGTCCAACCTTTGGGGGCCAGGAAGTCATTCTTAATGACTGGTCTCTGAAATCCTTTGGTTCATGTGAAACTGATCATCAGAATGAAAATTTAAGATTATGAAACTGAGTGAATATCCTGAGGAAAAATGAATTTTCCAAAACCTATTCAAACTTACACTGAAGAACTGAACACATGATAAAAAAAATAAATAAATTTTGTCTCTTTCTCTTTACATAAAATTTTGCAACATCTCTCACCAACTAAGTTGGCTTCCTTTATCATCATGAGGAAATAAATAAGCAATGTACTGTGTAGGAATAATAATGTTACTTAATTATCACTTCATAGAGGCAGTAGTACCACGGTGGAGAGCTAATAGAGCTGGTCTTAGAGCCAGAAAGACCTTGGTTCAAATCTCACCTCTCAGACATACTGAATGACTCTCAGCAAGAAGTTCTGTGCTCTAGGCAATACTCTAAGACTGCAAATTGCAGAGAAAGTAGTTTCCTCACTTGGAAGTTCCCTATATCAATGAAATTGCAGGTCTGGTCTTTTTCCTAGGACTTGTAGAGAGTAGGAGTTAGGGGAATGTCATAAGATCTTATTATTGGAAAGGATCATAGAAATGTAGAATCTAGAGGTGGGAGGTACATTTGACATTATATAGTCTATACTCTGTATTCTTTTTTCAGAGACAACTAGGTGGTGCAATGGGTAGAGTACTGGGCCTGGAGTCACAAAGACCAAAGTTCAAATTCAGCCTTAGATCCTTGCTAGCTGTATGACCTTGGGCAATTCACTTACCTTTTGTTTGCCTCAGTTTCCTCAACTGTAAAATGAGGATAATAATAACACCAACCTCCCAGGGTTGTTGTAAGGATGAAAGGACATAGTATTTGTAAGTCACTTAGCACAGTGTAGCTATAGAGCTATAGCAATAATAGAAATAATCGCTATATTATTTTATAATTAAAGCCCTTCATTTTACAGATAAGGAAACTAAAACCAACAGACATTTATGGTCACATAAGTAGTAAGTAGGACTGACTTACTCAAAACTAGAACCCAGGTCCTCTGATGATGAATACATTGTTTCTTTCACTATACTTCACTGCCTTCTAGTCCAACTCTACCTGAAACTTGTATCACTGCTACAAGGTCCCTGGCAAATGATCATTCAGCTTCTTTTTGGAAATTTCCAAAGGTGTTTGAACAACTGCTCATTATGATCATAGTATATTTGAATGGATATCATTAGAGTTGAGAAATGTATTCTGAGTCTCTCCATCTCTCAGCAAAAGAGACCAAGAATGGACCAAATTGTTCTAGGGTGTGGATGTGGCTCTTTATAGATAAATGACCTAGAGTTGGAGATATAACCAGAGGAGATGAGGAATCTTCTGGTTGGGGATAATAGGGTAGGGTGTTGGGACCAATCCATGACCTACCTAATTATATATACCATTGTTCACTGGTGGTTTTCAGTTTATCAGAAAGCCCTCCAGCCTAATAGCTCCTTTTCTTTCTAGAGAAACATTATATCACAGAATCTCTTTGTTTTTAATTTCTCTTCCCAGCAGCAACTTTATGCATTTCCTTTTCCTAAACTGCCCCTTTTGAATTGATCCCATTGTGAAATCAGGACGACTCCATCTCCCAAGCACTGCATGTCAAAATAAAGATACAAGCCCCTCATTTCCATTTCCGTTTTGCTGAATGGTTGTTAAACAAACATAGCATGAAAATTCCTTTGAAAAAATTCCTAAACTGTTCCAGGATTCCAGAAATATGATCCATTGGTGGAGAATGTGCTGTCTCATCTAAAAGTCCCCTAGGGTTCCACTTCTGCAGATGAGCTGATGGGGATCTCTGGTGAGAGCCACCGCTGCCTACAGTTGTAAGTGTACTGATTCTTGAGCAAAGGAGGGTGCTCTAAGTCTGAGAGAAAAGCAAAGCTGACTAACCCATTTCCAAGGTAAAATAAAGTGTCCAATGAGAGGCAGCATGGAATAGCAGAAAGAAGGATAGCCTTAGGGTCAGAAAAATCTGGATGCAAAAACCTACCTCTTATACGCACTAGCTATGTGAGCAAATCACTTAACTTCTCAATGCATAGACAACTCTCTAAGAATAGAAGTTGAAGAGAAATTGATGGTTTCCATCAATGGAGAGAGTTTCCACACTGCGATTTCCCTACATTAATGAAAGGATCCATTTGAACCAAAAGAAGGGGAAAGGGGATAAAAAGAAGAGCAATGTAATGTATGGCTACCTTTGCCCAATGGGATAAATCTGATCTAAGAGATATAAATAAGTTTGAAGAGCTAGGATGGAGTGTAGATCTAGGTTTTTGGCATGATGGCAGTATCCTGGGCCTGCCTTAGGGTTAGACTACATTCCTGAACCTAGAGTATCAGTACAATACATTCCAAACTGCTAAAATTATCTAGAGAAGCAAATTTCCCCAAATTTTTGAACTCAGGACTTAGCCTGAGGCAAAAGGGGAATAACCTATAAAGGCTAAGAGATTTGTAGCCCTTATTCTAACTCTGGCTTTTTAGTCCCCTGTGTTACTTTTGCCCACAGCTACTGATAAATCTATGCACACAATTGCCCCATACATCAACAAACCTTTTTTTTCTCTTTTTCTTTCTTGTCCCATCTGTCACATCTCTCCTTCCTGCAGAAACCAGTAACTACTAAATAATTTTAAATTTTCACATATCATTAGAAAACTTAGAGGTCAGATTTTTGAATTCAGGAAAAAAAAGGAATACAAAAATGCTTACTACAGAAAAGAATGAAAGATTCTGTTTTAGAATGCGTTTACAC